TTTTTTTTCAAATGTTATTTCATATTTATATGTACTAAATTATGTTCTTTATTTAATTGAGTTATTACCCGTAAATAAATAAATAATAATAATAATAACTATTATAAATATTATCAACTCATGGTATAGGAATCAGTCGCAATTGTACTCTTTTTCAAATGATAACGCACCGCGTCAACCACACGCCTCTCTCACAAAATTAGTAATTAGTTTCTGATTAATCGCTATCGTTCGGCTACATAATTGAATAATTATTATCTATCACCAACGGCGACTGAAACCGTCGGGAGGATGTGTTYGCGTTTTGACTGGTTTTCGTCCACCACTCACACAGTTATTATWTAAAAAAATACATTGTGCATGATACTTTTATGTGATGGATAGGAATTAATAATTACGTTTATATTATTTTTCTAAAATGTTCCAYATTTGTTTATTCCTAAATAAGTTCGCTAAAAACCATATTATTAAATTTTAATTGTTTTATCTGTGTGTGTGCACATGCAGGTTAGTTAGAATTCACAAACGGCTACAGAAGGCTGTATCATGTCTAGAATTCTTCACCACCCATGAATGGAACTTCAAGAACACAAATGTGCAGAAGCTGTTTACCRAACTTGACCCTAATGACCAAAAGACATTTTACTTTGATGTGTCGCAACTGGAGTGGCGGAGCTACATTGAGTCGTACATATGGGGTACCAGGCAGTTTGTCCTTAAGGACCATCCAAGCACCGTACCCAATGCAAAATTGAGATTGAGACGGTATGTTTGGAACTGAGTTTTTGTTTTATTTGTACCTAACCTAAGTTTACGAAACGATGTTGACGGCCGTCTACATCTATATAAAAGAATAATATACAATTMTAGGGGTGGCTAGATGCGCCCTACTTGCTTCAATTGATTTCACTCTATAAGCTCCACTCACTAAAATTAAATTCTTACTTCATGAATACTTACACTGATCGAAATTTACAAATAATTTTGCATTATTGTTGTTATTTAATTACATTATGATCATGGTGTTTCTCTAATTATTTTTAATATTGTTCTCGCGCATTCCCACCACTAAACCTCACGTTTTTCTGGCCGCGGTCGCCGCGTTGCAAATGGGGGGTATTTTGCACGACGAATAGGTAGGAAGAGTGGAAGAAATATGAGTTCGAAAATGCGGAGCTCGATTATTTGGATATGCCAAGGAGTAGCGCTCTCTCGGTGACCGGAGTTTATAGGAACTTGTTAAGTGCATCTGTTACGGGCAAAGTAGAAAGTCGGGCATTGTGCACAATGCCCAATTAGATTTGGGCACAGTAGATTAAATATTGAATATTATATAAAAAATTAAAAATAAAGATATTAAAAATATTATTAAAAATAAATAAAGTTGCACAGCTTTAATATTTAATTTATTATTAAATTACAATTAATATTTATTTGCTTTATTTATTACCACATACACCACTATTATGACACTGAGTTGCAAAGACGACTAGATCTTTTACATTTACACCGGTTGGTCTTACACAATGTATTGCAAGTACACCTATCGTACCCTTGGCTACCCAAATTAGAAGATTTTCTTGCCACTTCTCTTAATGAAATTTGTACTGGTGGTACATCATCAGCCTGGATAAACACCTCTTTACATATTGTG